GGGGGCTGTTTCATGGATTGAAGGGGTTTGGGGGGCTGCTCTAATATGTGCCAACTAGTTGTGGTTCCTGATGTCCATTTGTCAGCTGCAGATAACCAGTGGGCAGAACTCTCTGGTTACACTTCTTTCCTGCATGAAAGGCAATGGAGATAACTGACATGGGACTTGGCTATGCCAGCTCTCCATCTTTGGCATTTCCCCACATTTGAGGTATCCCTAGTAAGCAAGATTGTTCTGAATTCTGTCCTCTTTGACTCGTAGTTTTTCAGAACACAAAGCCTAATTGTGCCCTTCAGTATGTGTACACAGACCAGGACTCCTCTTCTGTGCAGTGCCATTGAGGAGTTGTGCAACCTGAAGGAGCAGTCCTTTCTTGAGGCTTAGGTGTAATCCAGGTCCTTCCCATGCAAGGTCCTTTCACAAACCCAATAATTTGGACCACACCTTTCTGACTCAAGGCCAGACTTCCACCAAGATCCAGTTACTCATGTTAGAAGCAAGTTTTCAGAACTGGTATTCTTGGTTTTATTATGTTCAGAACTCGTATCCTGCTTTCTGCTGTGATGTCACACTAGCGCTCACCTAGCTCTTGGAGGTTGTTGTGAGGGCAAGGTAGGTAATATTTGTAAATAGATTCACATCAGCTCGTCTAGTCTTTGAACATCCTTGTTGTGAGCAGTTAGCAAGCAGGGTGATACAGTGACATTTGGTCTTGTCTTCCCCGTACATTTGAAAATGCAAAATTACACTTCTTAAGTTTCAGGGGTGCTAGTTGTAGCCACGTTGGTCTAAGGATGGAGGCAGACAAAGTTCTTCGGGTAAATGTGATATCTTTTATTAGACCAACTAAATATTTGGAAAAATTGTTATTTGCAAGCTTTCAGGAGCAAAACACCCTTCTTCAAGCTGATGGAAAGCCTTAAGTTTTGCATTTTTTTTTTACAGTTTGTAATCTTCTAAGATGTCAGGCTTCTAATTTTCAGTTCAATTTTGCAATAGTAACTAATTTGAATCCAGTGTTTAATATCCATGTTGATTTTTTTTATGTAAATGTTTAGGTGTTTGTCTACACTGTATCAAGATGCTGATTGGTCCCAAAAGGATCTTCAAGATGCAATCATCAGAGCCCGGAATAATGTATCAAATAGCAAAGCTGGGGCATTTTCTCCAGAAAGACTGAAATACTATTTCCAGGAACTGAACTCAATGGAGAACGGTGGACGCAAAGTCTCTTTCACAGACTTGTGGGGCCTTATTGTAGAGTATTTTCTGCAGCAGAAGGTGAAGAATTCTAGGCTTTGAGATGTCTTCTTACCTTCAAATAAGAAATTCAACATAGCCACTTATTGTGCATTTCCAGAATCTTATTTCTCTTTAGCTTTCTTTACATTTTTTAGAATTGTTTTGGAGATGAGAGACATTTAAGGCACAAACATGAGGGTTTTTCACCTCAATCTGCTTCAGTTTCTGTAATTATAAAATGGGAATAATGCTACCACCTTTTTAAAGCAGATGATATGCAAGTTAGGTTTTTATTTGAGGTTATTTTGTTAGCCATTTACTTTATATTAAGGTTTAAAAAAATGGAAAGATGCATACAATATAGTTTTGCGAAAAGAGATTGAGGCCGACACTGTTATGTAGATGAAATGACAAACTGGATTTTGATTAAAGCAGTGATTGGCTGGTGAAGAACACTTGGTTAGTTCCAAGTATGTAACCATATAAATATGCTGAGAAACCTAGATGACGGCTATGCTTGAATGAAGAGGAACTTCAGAGCTAGTGAAACAGTTATGGGCAAGAGTGGGGAGTGAGAGAGCTCCTGAAAAAGGGAGTGTGGGCACAGGTGCTTTAGTATAGCAACAAAACTGATGTTTTTTTTTTCTGTCTTGTAACTAGGAAGACCTGTCAAAGTTGTCTGATCAACAGAAAGCAGTGGAGTTGGCCCAGAATCCTTATCCTATCTATGCAGCTATCAATGTGAGACCCAATATTAGTGGTGATGACTTTGCAGGTATAAAGAAGGCAGGTTTATTTTTCTAATTATAACATCTGTAAATCATTTCCTCCTACCAAAATGTAACCACTCTTTTCTGATTCACTGAGGATTGGGTAATGAGAGATCAGCCAGTCGTTCATAGCCTAACTCTTAGCATGATAAAACTGCTAATTCAGCTTCAGGATCTTCATACATTTTCCTCAGCAAAGATTGATTAAATTGGTTGCCCTAAATATTTTCATAGGGAGTGTCAAAATTCTTCAGCAGGTGTGAGCAACAGTACACTACAAAAATAGTTCAACTTTATTTGTCTTGATCTTAGCACAGGTTAAATAAAATGATCATTATTGATACACTTTATTATTTGGGACCTGGTTGTTTTGTTCTTTTTCTTTAGTGTCCAATGTTTGATTTTATGTAGGAATCATGCATAATAATATGTCTTGAAAGAGGCACAACAAGGCAGTCAAAGACCAGAGAATGGCAGCTTCTAGCTGTCACTGTGGTGCCAGCAACTATTTTTTTGACCCCACCCCACCTAAATTGAGACTAGCGTGTTGATGAATAAGAATAAGACTGCTGTCTCAGTTGCCCTGCCCTAGTTATGTTACTGTGTTTTGGGAGGTTGGCAGCATATACAAGTTTCAAAGGTCCATTCTGAGTGTAGTGGTCTTTTAGGCTAGCATTGTTAAAGTACACTGATTTCCAGAGCCAGAGAGATATGTGGCTAGTACCATATTCAGCCACTTTTTAACTTTTGAGCCTAAATGACTGCATGCCTCTTTACTGCTGGACTGCTTGAGGGCAGCCATCCTCCTAAATCTGGAGTGAGGCTCTAAGGCATGCCTCTGGAGCCCTAGAGTTATCTCTCTTTACCATCCCACCCCAATTCACATACAATACCATGATTATTTGTATTGTAGCAAAATTAGGAGGCCCAATCATGTACTAGGACTGTTTTGTGCTAGGTGTTGTACAAACACAGACGTGAAGGATGTTGTCTGCTCTTAAAGGGTTTATAATCTAAAGCAGTGTCTCTTAACCTTTTTAGATTCAAGGCACCCCTAGTTTGGCTTGAGGCACCCCTCAGAAAATGCCAGCTTTTACTTTTCACTCATTTTCTGACTGTAGAATAACAGAACAATCCTTCTGTTGCAAATAACTCAGGTTGCAAAGAACACCACAGCAGCCCCATGTTTTTTTAAAGCAATGAATTCCTATTTAAAATCTCTGGGTTCAGCTTATGAAGCATGTTTGCACACCCAGCAGTGCTAACATTGCATGGCATCTTGTGGCACCCTTGAAAGGATCTTAAGGCACCACAAGGTGCTGCAGCACCCTGGTTGAGAAGCACTGATATAAAGTAAAAGATAAAAAACAATAGATGGATAAGCTTAAGGAAATGATGGCATGAAACCAATCAGTTGTTCCAGCACTGCAGTTGCTGAGGTGCTATCAGGTTTGTTGTAAGCATGCAAGATCTGATGGAGGGCAACAGGGAAGCTGGGCAGATGTTTCTGAGGAGCTTCTTCCAAAAGAGCAAACACAAAGGTTTTTATGTGAAGCTAGTGAGGGGTGGTGGAAGCTGGCTCTATGGGCCTGCTGTCTGGGCAGTCAGCCTCCTAGGGGTCAATGAAACAAGATGGCTAGCATGAGTCTAGCCTATGAAAGGTGTGAAACTCAAGTCAAGTAGTTTGTGTTTCCTGCAATAGAGAAGGTCTCAGTGCAGGGTTATAAGGAGAAAGAGTGACATAATCTAAGTGATGAACTAGGCACTTTGAATTTGAGGAATAATAGAAGCGAGAGAAAAAGAAGTTGAGATACACAAGATAACGAGACCAGAGTTTTAGGTAAGGATGCATAAAAAGCTATATTCTCAAAATGTTATATAGGAAGAATTGGCAGGATTTAGTGGAACTGAGAACCTAGAAAGAGAACAATGTTTCTCTCTTCAACAGTGGTGTAACCCCAGTGGGGCAACTGTCCTGGGCATTGAGCTGGAGGTGTGGGGGTGAAAAAACAAATGCTGCTGGCAGCCTTGCAGTTGTCACAGCAACACCAGTGGCAACTGGAAGTTGCTAATGCCCCATGCTGTAGGTGCCCAGCTGTGTTGCTGTGCCACTGATGTTTAGCAATACTCATGGCATTGTTTAGAACTATCTTAACTAGATTGCTCTTGCAAACCTACTAGTCTGAGTTGGGAGGTGATGTGGCCTCTGCATAGCTTGCTAGACTGGGCTTTTTTTCCAGCTGTGCCACTGGAATGCTAGGTGACCTGGGGCACTCTCTGTGCTTCAGTCTCCTTATCTGTAAAATGACATTAATGACATCTTCTGATGATGATTAGTATTAAATAGGAGCTAAGGACATTTATAGCATCCTTTATTAAACCATTTTTCATGATAAAATAGAAATTGGGCTTGAGTAAATGGTTCAAACAAATTTCAGAAACTTTTAGATGTTGGAAATATAAATAATTAATTATGGATTGAAGGTTGTCACAATCTCATTTTGAGTAATGATGTTGGCAGGTACCAGTCTGCTTGGTACTTTCATGCTTCCATAACACTCTGTGCTGCTGTTTTAAAATAGTCACAAGCTGTTTCACACCTTAATGATTCAATCAATAAATATATGAAGACTTCAGTGCTGCAAAGTATTTATCAAACCATCTAATTACTGAGCGTTCTTATTCAGGTGCTTCACTACATGTTCATTATTAAGCATTTAAACCAGTGATTCTCAACTAGGGTGCCATGGTATTCTCAGGTACCTTCATATCTTTTCAAGGGTGCATTGCAATGTTAGCAATGTTAGGTGTGCAAACACAATTCACAAGATAAACCCAGAGGAAAGTAGGCATCAATAATGTTAAAGCATTCTGACCTGTTGAAGTCATCTTCAGTTCTTTGCAACAGCAGAATTGCCCTATTCTTTTCCTATAGTTAAAAAATGAGTGGAAACTAAGAACTAGCACTTTTGGAGAGGTGCCTTAAATCTAAAAAGGTTGAAAACTGTTGATTTAGACAGTCATACTGCTTCTACTGCCACAAGCATGATAGACACTAAGAAATCCTAGCTCCTAGCTTCACTGACAGGGGCTACCTTTCCCATGGATTCTTCATGGAAGCACCTGAAATCTGTGACGTTCCTGTGCAGAACAGCCTTGCCAGTTCCACTGCATGTGTGATTCACTGAGAGAAGTGGGCAAAAATTTTCTGTGAGCACTGTTGGAAGAAACAGAGGGATGTTCTTCTTCAGCCATTTATATATATGTTCAGAGGTAAAGATGATTTAATTGCATTCCTGAGGTTGCCATTGATTTGCTGTCCTTTCTCTTAGAATGGTGTGAGTTCACTCCATATGAGGTTGGATTCTGGAAGTATGGGGCCTTTATCCACACAGAAGACTTTGACAGTGAGTTCTTCATGGGCCAGTTAATCCGGAAACGTCCAGAGCCCAGGATTTGCTATCTACAGGGTATGATCTGAAATTAATGGTTTGGAGGGGAAGATTAGAAACTCAGGAACATAAGCCCCTATCTTATTTTGTCCATGGCTGGAACATTTGAAAGGTTAAATAAGCCAAACTTCTCCAATGATTGCAAAAAAGTCCATCTATAGGTTACCAAGTACAATCCAGACTTCCTTGGTCTGCAAGCAGACATTGTGAAATAATAACATACTCTGTCTATACTGTTCATGTCAATTAGTTAACCTTGAAACCTAATGTTAACTGTTTTTCTCCCTGTTATTTAAAGGTATCCTTTGCTCACTGGTGATTGTGGTGGTGATGGTTAGGAGTGCTGGGGCTAGTGGAAATCAGTAGTTGTATACCAGCTGGCAGCTGCTATCTGTTCAAAAAATATATGGCAACACTGGAGTGGCATTATTTCTCTGCCTGACTCTCTGACTCTGCTTTTCAGGCAAGATCTCTGCTCAAAACAGTACTATCCTTGGCAGAGAGAAGTGACCTACTATTGGCTAACCTCATTCCTCTGTGTGTAAAGAAGAAGAGACAAATTGAATCAGTTGCCTAAGATCCCTGGGGAAGTTTATTCCTCTGGGCTGCACTGTGGTCTCTGCTGGATGCAGATGAGTGTCATGGCTTAAACCAAGAAGTTTGATGACAGTCAGGAGCTGAGGGAGGGGATCTTGAGTTGAAAGATAAGAAATGGTTTTTCTCCTGAGAATGAATTTCTGTAAATGGCTGCCAGGATTGAAAATACAGATATTAGGTTTTTGCTAGGTTTCACACATTTGCCAGTTCCTAGATGAAGAGCATGTGAGGCATAGTGCTTCTCAACAGCTGTAGCTTATTTAAAATACAATAGTGTTCTTCACACGATGCAGTCAAGGTTAACCAGTAGGATTAAGCTATTTTAACTGTGGTACAGTCTCTTGGATCTTATCTTAGAGCAGAGGTGGCCAACCTCTGGCATGTGGGCCACAAGTGGCATGGGCAGCCTCTGTGTGTAGCATGTGGCAGCTTGGTGAGGAGGAAGGCAGCACAGTGGTAGATGAGGTAGGAAACAAAGCAGAGCTGTGGATTGACAAGAGAAGGGGATAAGAGTGGTGCTTGGGGAGGGTGTAGGTCTAATTTGTGGCATGGCTACTAAAAAAGGTTGCTTCCCCCTATCTTAGAGCATGGGAGATGTTGCAGCAATGTGTCCACGGTAGCGTAGGGCATGTTTTTCCCATTTGTTACACTGGAACATTTGAGCTGCAGTGTGCCACATAGGCAGAGCTTGGTCAGATGTCAGAGGGATGCTTCTGCGCTGTGGTGACTCTATGGGTCGGGGTCTACCTAAACTGCAGCGAGACGAAGGAATTTTTATGCAGTGCTCGTGCTGTGTGGAGCTGATTTCATGGTCTTTTTGTGGCAAGCCCCCTCCCCCCACCACTGACTGGCTGAGGAGCCTCAGAGGCTCTGCCTCTTGCTGCTGATTGACTGAGAGGCCAGTCAATCATCTTCTGACTGCAGCATTGCATCTGGCTTCTTAAAAGATGGCACTGAAGCCCCTTCACTTTCCCAACTGGCACCTTCACTGAGTCTGTCACTAGCTCAGCCTCTTAGTAGCTCTCTCACAAACATCATGCTCCAGGGTTGCAGGGATTGCTGCACTTTCTTTGTATTTCAGTAAGCTTTTTTTTTTGGGGGGGGGGGGGGG